TCGTCTAATTCAAACTCTCGATGGATGGGGTGACAAGAATGTGATAGCGTCGGCCACGTCTGAAGCTTTGCCAAAAGGTCACCACAGATCCATTGCAGTAACGCACGGGCAGGACGCGTGGCTGCAGGTGGACAAGCGGCTGTCTTTGGCAGCGTCTGAACCCCGCTACTAGCTCGCAGGGGCTTTGCTTGCGGCAGGTAGGAGCTGGCAGGCGGTAGCTACGATGTGGCGGCTTCAGCGAGACTCCAGGTCTCTGGGCATTTTCACCTCCAAGGAGTCATTTCCAGTGTGAGCTTCCACACACTCACCAGGGAGATAGCGGAGAGGCCGTCACTGGAGCGTGCGGACCCAGTGGGCGCGTCCTTGGGCGTCGGGCCCTACATGCCATCTTACATGCTGACGCCTGGGAACGGGGTGTGGTGGGGGTGGGGGGCACGGCGGTGTTATTCTCACCCGCTCGGGGAGGTTCAAAGCGCACAGATCTGTCCTGCTCTGCGTCCCAGTCCCCGTCCCGCGATCCCCAGAGGCTGTCTGTCCCCTCAGTTTTACAGGCCGCTGAACATCCGCATCGTGCTGGTGGGCGTGGAGGTGTGGAACGACATCGACAAGTGCCCCATCGGCCAGGACCCCTTCGCCAGCCTGCACGAGTTCCTGGACTGGAGGAAGGCCAAGCTCCTGCCTCGCAAGGCCCACGACAACGCACAGCTTGTCAGGTGGGTCGGTGAGGTCCCTCCTGGGCTGGGGAGGGAGCGGCCCCAGCACCCCCGGCCTCCTCCAGCTCCACCCGCATGGGCCCCGGTGCTGCGCCTTCCCGGGGGCGGGGGGGGGTCGCTCAGCACTCATGGGGGGCAGAGGCCCCCTGACCGGAATCTGGGGTCTGCTGTGAAGTCTCCCTTTGGACACCTGGGAGAACTCTCCCTGTGCCCAGTGTCTTCTTCCTTCTCCGTCACCTGGACGTTCTCCTTGTGCAAATGTATTAAAATATGTTTTTATTGATTTTAGAGAGAGGAAGAGAGAAGGAGAGAGAGATAGAAACATGGATGAGAGAGAAACATCAGTATCTATCAGCTGCCGCCTGCACACCCCTGTTGGGGATCGAGCCCGCAACCCGGGCATGTGCCCGGACCTGGAGTCGAATCCTGGTTCATAGGTCAACGCTCAACCACTGAGCCACGCCGGCCGGGCTGGGCAAGCTGTTCCAGTCTCTGCCTGATGCCCAGTTGTCCAGAGCAGCTGCTTTTTAAAGCCCATTGTCTTCCCTTATCAGCGGGAATGTTGATGCACCATCTGAAGGCGGGGACACCTGTGTTCCCCTCCTCACGGCATTCTGGGGCTTCCTAGACCCGAGGCTGCAACAGGACAGCACATTAGCCTTGGGTCTGTCTTTCAATCCAACTGCCCTGGGCACCGAGCAGGAACCAAACTTCCGCCCCGGGGAGCCGGTAAACAAGGCAATCCCCTGAGCGATCAGGGTGTGGAGTAACCAGTGAGGGAACGCAGAGCGGGAATGTAACCGCTGCTACAGACTCCTTTATATTCGAAAAGAAGCATTCTTACCCTAATGAAGTAGATTGTTTCCAAAGTGGAGAACATTCTATTAAAGTCCTTAAATACTTTATGCCATTATCCTTGTCTTCTTGCGTTGCTTTATCACTGAATTAAAAGCTGTGGAGAGATGGACGCTTTCCTTTATCGAATTGGGTCTAATTTATGAGCTTTTATGGAAAGTGGACCACCAGTCCCTCCCCATCCTCTCTCTAGAACATGCCCAGCCCCGGGCGAGGCCGGGGGCAGTCCCTGTTCGTTCACTTTGGCCATCGTCAGGGGGCTTTTGTTAATTCCCTGCCTTGGATATTTGCGGTTGCCTCATATTTTGCTCATTGATTAATCCTGAACCATTAAAAAGCAGAATCAAAGTGTGTTGTTTTGACTTTTTTCCCAAATGGAGTCTGTCCAACCTGAACATCTGGAAATAAATCAGCCTCTTATATAACCTCCTCATGTATATACATGTAGTTGTTTCTGTTAAATGCTCGATAGAGATATAAACGTTAAAGCTGCAGTCCCTACTCTTGTCCGTGAGCGTGGGGGGGTGGGGGGCAGATGGGTGGATACATACATACACACGTTCATACATGCATAGATGGGGTGGCAGGTATACTTGCTCCCTGTTGTCCAATCGACCAAAATCCCTACCTTTTCACATAATACCTGTGAAATCAACGTATGTCCGTGGCCAAGATGACATGAAAGCTCATTTTTCCTTTAAACGAAATTCAACAATGACATTGTTTCATTTTTCGTGGATGAGGTAGGAGCTACACGCACTTGCATGACACAGGCCTTGAGGTCATCGGACTCGCTGCTCAAGATTCCGCGGGAGGGAAAGCTGCGCCCGCGGGAGCCATAAGGGCCCCTTCCAGAAGCTTCCGCCGGGGGCTGAGGCTGCATGGGTGCGGACTCCTACACTCAGTCCAGGGGCCAGCCATTCTCCTGCGATTCCACTTTAAAAGTTCCACGAGCAGGAGAGCGCCGTGGGAGAGTTTGGGTTTCCGTCCGGTCACGTGACGCAGGAGCACAGACTTCGGCGACAACAGGAAACAGAGCGAGCCGCCTACTGCGTCCCTGTAACCGCGATTCTGTGCCTGCGCAGACGGCCCTCAGCAAACGGGCTTATGAGGAGCAGCCCCTCCTCCTGCCCCCACCCCCCTGAGGAAGTAGGCAGACCACCAGTTACACAGTCAAGAGCCGTGACCGGCTGTCTGAGTCTTGGAAACAGAAATCTGAAAGGGTCAAGGGACCGCGGTGCAACTGGACCCTAAGTCGCCGAGAGCGGAGGGGACGGCCGCGCCCACACGCCCTCACGCAGCTCCCGGGCCGTGCGGGTCACTCCGGGACTGGGTGCCTCTCGCTTACGTACACCCGCTCTGTCCGTTTTGTCACCTTCGCCCCCAACCCTTGACCCAGTTACACGCCACACACCGTGTTCTTGACCTCGATATATTTCTTTTTTCATCAAAGGTCCAAAAAAGTATATCTTAGAAAATGTCTTCGTCCTGTGATCGTTTCAGAAAGGCCTTTCTCTTGTCTCCTAGTGGGGTCTACTTCCAAGGGACCACCATCGGCATGGCGCCCATCATGAGCATGTGCACGGCGGAGCAGTCCGGGGGCATCGTCATGGTAAGTCCCCCGTGGCGGTTCCCGGGAAGTCTCTGCTTTCACCAGACCTGGTGAGGTCAGGGTCTCTGGGTCAATGCATTTTAGATTTCATCCTGCCCTCCTCCTCGCTCTGTCTGTGATCGTACACACCCCACAATATCTTATTTTTTACAATATATTTTTATTGATTTCAGAGAGGAAGGGAGAGGGAGAGGGAGAGAGAAACATCCATGATGAGAGAGAATCATTCATCAGCTGCCTCCTGCACGCCCCCTACTGGGGATGGAGCCCACAGCCCGGGCATGTGCCCTGGACCGGGAATCGAACCGTGACCTCCTGGTTCATAAGTCAGTGCTCAGCCACGGAGCCACGGTGGCTGGGCGCCCTGCACTCTGTTAGGGGCTGCTTGTAAAACACATCCGTTTGCACACAGGAGAGGAGAGCGTGTAAAAATAGCTCATGCGAACCAGTCCTCCCCGTTTATGGAGAAAAAGCTCCACTGGGATTTTGGTCTGAGCCCCAGCCCAGGAATTCCCTCCCGGCGCCGGGATGAGCCCGGCCCGGGGCTGCCCTCCCCTCCCCGCCTCGAGGTGGCCTGTGGTCGCACCGAACAGAGCCGTTAGGACGGTTTTCTGACGGCTCAGCCTCCAGGCCCAACAGCCAAACGGCTGAGGTTTGTAAGGACTCGCCACCGCACATGCTTGACATACCTCCCGGCCAGTGTCCAACCGTCTGCAGAACAGCCTCATTCTCGGAAGGCGGGGGCCTGGGCTTGCGCTGTACAAGGATCACTTTGTCATACATGGGCTCGATGTGTTTGTAAAAGGAAATAGAGCGGGAGGGATACTGGGGACTTGATTCCTCTGAACTGAAGAGGGAGGCGGCTCTGACAGGCTGCCCGTCGGGGGACTCCTGCCCCGGCCCCTCCCATCATGAGAGGGAAGGTGCCACCAGGGCCGCCGCTGCGCCCACTCTGAGCCCGGAGCGAGCCCCCTGCCCCAGCCCCCGACGGGGCGTGTCCTCAGAGACCAGTCCAGCATCCCAGCTACACAAACAAACCCGTCCTTCCAAGAAACCGGGAGTTCCCCCGCAGGTTCCAAAGGGAACACGTGTGAATGTTCCGTGTGTTAGCGGGCGGAGGAGCCTGTTCTGCTGACTCTGACTTTCTCACTGCCCGCCCGTCTCCGCGGCACCCACAGGGCGGGTTTCCTCTTCCCCGGGCAGCGGGCAGCGCTGGGGTTCAGGGAGCCGCGTTCCCTGGGGGAGGAGGGGGGAGGAGGGGGAGGAGAGCGGGGGGCTGCATGGAGGGTCACAGGCCCTCCTAGGCTTGCTGGCTTGACCGGGCTCCCGCTGGCTTCTCTGGAGCCCGGAGGCCGGCCTGTGTGAGAGCCGCGCCGGGGAAGCCACGGAGAGGTGGGCTGTGGGCGGTGCCAGGGTCATTTCGAGTCCCAGCCCAGCGGTCCGTTTCCAGAGCCGCCCGTAAAGTTTTAAGAGGGAATCATTTTCTGTTTCGTGGTTCCACGGCCGGTTGCTAACTGACTTTGCCACTTCAGATGGGTGTCTGTGTTTTTAGAGCCGAAACTCAATTCCACATAAGCCCGCGGGTTCTGCCGCCAGCGTGCGGAGCTTAAATGTTTCATAACCAATCTGATCAGGTTAAGTGGCTTCCTGGAGTTCATACCCCTTATTCTGTTTCCACACAAACATTCACCTGGAGCCCGGCCGGCGTGGCTCAGTGGTTGAGCGTCGATCCATGAACCAGGAGGTCAGGGTTCAATTCCTGGTCAGGGCGCAGGCCCGGGTTGCAGGCTCGATCCCCAGTGTGGGGCGTGCAGGAGGCAGCTGGTCCATGATTCTCTCTCATCCTTGATGTTTCTCTCTCTCCCTCTCCCTTCCTCTCTCTGAAGTCAATAAGAACATATTTAAAAAGATTCCTCCTGGAAAAGCATACAGGGACGCATAACTTTTAAAAAAATGGGTGAAAATGGATGTGGGAAGTAGGAACAAATATGTGGACTGCAGTGAGAATCCTCAAAGCCAGCGTTAAGCGACAGGAAGTAGGTCGGCCTCGGTTGAGATGAGCCTGAGACTCGTTCCTTGTTTGCCCCCGGGGAAGAGAGGCGCCCAGTGGGAAGAGCAGGCCTGGCCCCCTTGAATTTCTGAAACGCTCACCAGATATGCAAAGATCAGCTGCTCAGCCAGATCCCACACTCCAGGCTGTCTCCCGGCGCCTCTGAACTTACACCCTCGGTGCCAGAGGCGGCCACGCCTCCTTCAAAACCTCACAGACGTGAGGAAGGCCCGCGGCGAGGAAGCAGACCCCTCACCCACTGGGAACAGTCTTGTTGTTGGGACAGAGCGGGCGCTGAGCTCGGTGCCTGAAAGCCCTGCTCTGTGTCACACTGGCCCAAGCGGCTGGGCTTGGGGTGATGCTGTGAAGAAAGAGGTGGGTTTTTTGTCCTCATCCCAATGGAAACCGTCTGTGAGGCCCTTTTAAGAGGAGCTGTGCTTACAAGCACCTACGCGTGGAAGGAAGTCAAACCGCGAGGTTCGTGAGGGAGGACTTCCTGAGACAGATTTGCGGGGCGTCCTACAGCGGGAAGCCGGAAGCCCAGACAGGCATGTATTAGGGCGTCCCCCCCTCGGAGAACTCGGCTCCCCGACGCCACCCCGTCCTCCGGCTGAGGACTCTCGACAGGCAGGTGCAGCCATCACGGCCGTGCCTGCGGGCCCTCCGGGGCTCCCCTCCCTGCCAGGCCCCACAGGGGCGGTGGGTCTCCGGAGGGTCTTTCTCAGAACCACACAGCCTGCATCCCGGACGCCTCTGGGGAGCTCTCCCCTCGAGCCGAGCAGCCCAGAGCAGGGCCCGAGGCAGGGCCTGCAGCACAGAAACTCCGCTCCTGGGCGCGGTTCCTGCACGCCCCACTCACTGATTGACTAGTTTTGGTTTATTAACGTGAAGCAACAATGTATTTTTTAAAAATATATGTTTATTGATTTCGGAGAGGAAGGGAGAGAGAGAAACATCGATGATGAGAGAGGATCATCGATCGGCTGCCTCCTGTACAGCCCCCACTAGGGATGGAGCCCGCATCCCGGGCTGTGCCCTGTCCAGGAATCGAACCGTGACCCTTCGGTCCGAGGGCTGGCGATCTAACCACTGAGCCACGCCGGCCGGGCCGTCCCATCTTTTCAAGCTTTAACGCATCCCTGTGGCTCTCTGTGGTTCCTTCCAGGGGAGCTGTCAGGCCCGTGTCGAGGAGACGCTCATGGCGAGGGGATGGGGCAGGGGGGCGGCTGGTGACAGGAGCTGTAGTCTGTGCCCTGTGCTCTCTCGGAGGACCACTCGGACAGCCCCCTGGGCGCGGCCGTGACGCTGGCACACGAGCTGGGCCACAACTTCGGGATGAACCACGACACCCTGGAGCGCGGCTGCAGCTGCCGGACGGCCCCGGACAAGGGGGGCTGCATCATGAACCCCTCGACCGGGCAAGTACTCTCGCCTCCAGCGGCTTCCAGAGTCGGGCCGCAGCTTGACAGGCGTGTTGGGAAACAATGAGCAGGAAACTCCCCGGGTTTCTGGCCAGAACACCCGTGGAAGCTTCCAGAAAGAAATCCCTCCAGAGGTGCAAGCGTGAGGGGCCTGTGCTGCCCTGAGAGTCACAGGCAACCAGATTCAACCAGCTGATTGCAACCTCGCTCTCAGCCTGAGGTTGGGGATCATGGATATAAGGGGCCTGCTCTAGGGCAGAGGGCTGGCTGGGTGTGGGAACGGGGGGGGGGGTG